TGGCCCGAGTCATGTGCTAGGCTGGATGCGAGCCCTCACCCTGACCTCGACTTGGCTGCAGACTCCCCACATGTGGGGACCAGGCCCTCCTGGAAGGCTAGCGAGTCTAGGAATTTTAACACATGTCCTCTACTGCATTGCCATATGACAGTGGACTTTGCTTTCTCTGCCTCTCTGGGCCATCATCCACCCCGGGTTGGGGGGGGGGAAGACCACCATTCTGTGTGGTCCTGAGAGGCCCCAGGGGACAGGGGCCCATCCCATTGTGGTCCCCCCCTGCTAGCCCCCTCCTGCACCCCAGGGATTGGTGGTCGCTGGCACCCAGCGTAGCCAGCTGAGCACACTCTAGGGCGCCACCCCTCTGTGTTATCGCAGGCGCTATTCTTGTCAACACAGGCAGGTTGTTGGTAATCCCTAAGCCTTTAAGCAGCTCCACAGGGGAGTCCCCCCGGCCTGGCCGCGCCGTGCTCGGTCCTTGTTCCCAAGACCCTGCTTGGAGCCAGGCTGGAGCCCACTCTGAGCACCAAGGCCCCGTCTCTGGGCTGAAATGACAGCAGACTGGGGCTTTGACGAGGAACCTGTAATCCAACTCTCACCTTGCAATTGAGGATGCTGAGGCCAGGGTGCAGCTCCAACAGTGACTCAGACCCAGCCCAGTGCCCTCTGACCTCATGTGGGCTCCCACAGCCTCAGTGCGGTGGCTGATGCTCCCAGAGAGATGAGATGCAAACAACGAGGGCCACACGCAGCCCTGTCTGAAGGGAGCCCAAGTGGAACACACAGGGTGTGAGTGTCTGTTATAGGGTGTGCACAGGGCTGCCCACGTGGAACATACAGAGTGTGAGTGTCTGGTACAGGGTGTGCACAGGGCTGCCCACGTGGAACACACAGTGTGTGAGTGTCTGGTACAGGGTGTGCACAGGGCTGCCCACGTGGAACACACAGTGTGTGAATGTCTGATAGAGGGTGTGCACAGGGCTGCCCACGTGGAACACACAGGGTGTGAGTGTCTGTTATAGGGTGTGCACAGGGCTGCCCACGTGGAACACACAGTGTGTGAGTGTCTGGTACAGGGTGTGCACAGGGCTGCCCACGTGGAACACACAGTGTGTGAATGTCTGATAGAGGGTGTGCACAGGGCTGCCCACGTGGAACACACAGTGTGAGAGGTACAGGGTGTGCACAGGGCTGCCCACGTGGAACACACAGTGTGAGAGGTACAGGGTGTGCACAGGGCTGCCCACGTGGAACACACAGTGTGAGTGTTACAGGGTGTGCACAGGGCTGCCCACGTGGAACACACAGTGTGAGAGGTACAGGGTGTGCACAGGGCTGCCCACGTGGAACACACAGTGTGTGAGTGTCTGATAGAGGGTGTGCACAGGGCTGCCCATGTGGAACACACAGGGTGTGTGTCTGCTACAGGGTGTGCACAGGGCTGCCCACGTGGAACACACAGTGTGTGAGTGTCTGATAGAAGGTGTGCACAGGGCTGCCCACGTGGAACACACAGTGTGTGAGTGTCTGATAGAGGGTGTGCACAGGGCTGCCCATGTGGAACACACAGGGTGTGTGTCTGCTACAGGGTGTGCACAGGGCTGCCCACGTGGAACACAGAGTATGCATGTCGGGCTGCACAGTGTGCCCAGTACCACTGCGTCCTAGGACAGTGGAGATCTGCCCCAGTGGCCACCTCTGCTTGCGCCCTGGGTGCGCTGGTCCATACAGTTAATTAGGACGGTCCTTCAGATGGGGCTTTTAGCTCCGTCCCTGGCACCTCTGGAGTTTAAAACACAGCCCGGAGTAGTGTGTGCAGGATCACATTACGGTCTTGAATTTTATTGAGCTGTGAACATTTGTGGTTGCCCAGACTGTAGGTGGCCCAAGTCTTACACCTTCCTCCCCTGTGTGCGTCAGGCTTCCTGTCCCCTGGGCCTCTGGGCTGCCAAGAACACTCACCTCCGCCCAGCTGGTCCGAGAGGGGCCTGTGCCGGGCCTCGGGCGCCGAGCTCTGAGGCCGCCACTGGCTGGTGAGCACAGCGGCCGTTTGCCAGACAGAGTGCACACATGATACCCGGACGGCACACAGCTCAGATCCGGTGACAGGTTTCCTAGGATATGTTTTGATTTACAAAATGTGGGAAAACTGAGTTCCGTTGCCGAGGTGCCGAGTGGTGCCCACAGGGCAAGCAGCCTGATTGAGCTTGGGGAAGAATGCGGCTTTTCCACCCAAGCATTCCCTGTGCCTAGCGAAGGAGGCATGGTAGCTGATGGCTCTGCCCGTTCCTGGGGTGAGCAGGTATTTGCTGAGTGTATCTTATGCACCAGGTTTTGAGCTAAGTCCTGGGACGTCCACAGTCAGCAGATCCCTAGGGGTGAGCTAGGGCGGCCAGATGGTCACTGTCGCTGAGGCCTGATTCCGAGGGCGGCTCTGAGGCAGGAATGTGGACCCTGGGGATTCGTCACAAGGGAGCCGAGCAGGCTGGGAGCCGCGTCTGAAAACCTGGTGTTGGAGTTGGAGTCTGCACAGGGGCGGGGCTCTGGGCGTGGATTCTGGGATGTGACGGATTACAGGGGCAGGCAGTGACTTTAGCCCCAGGATCAGCACAGATCTGCTGACTACTGCGTGGGTGGAGTGGGCCGGGACCGGCTGTGGCATGGGGAGGGCTCTGCAGTTGTCAGAGCGGCCACATACAGGGCAGAGGAGCTGGGGAGGTGCGGGGAGGCTTGTGGGTGTGTGGGAGGAAGACTATTCAGAAAGGCTGGGGAAGGGGACCCTGGGCACGGGGCCCGGACGGGCAGCTGTGGGTTCGGGGTTCGTCTTTGTCTGCCATCACTCACAGGGAGGGGAGGTGGCTCCACGTTTGAGCCTGGGCCTGGAAGCTGTCTCTGCGTGGTGCATGGAGGAGGCCAGCTAGGGAGCAGGCCCAGGCCCTGGGGAGAGGACTGAGCCTGCAGAGAGCAGAGCGGGGAGAGTGGGGGCATTCGGAGAAACTGGGCAGGGCCGGCAGCCGTGGCCCAGGGATGCCGTTTCAGGCAGGGGGTGGGGCGGGGCGGGGTCAGGTAACCTGAGAGCTGACATGGCACTTGGGGTTTGGTGACACAGAGGTCATGGGTGACTTACAGCTATTTTGGGGAGTGACGTGATCTGCATGGGGGGTGGATGGGGAGAGGCCAGAGGGCTGGAGGACAGCAAAGAAATGGGAAAATTGGGACAAGACACAGCTGTTCCGGGGAAGGAGCAGGACCCAGCTGTTCTGGGGAACGAGCCGGAGCTGGGGGAGGGGGTGTCTGAGTGATGTCAAGGTTGGGAGAGACCCGAGGATGCTCAGAGAAGGGCGGGACAGGGGAAGGAGCGGGCTCACATGGCAAGAACTGAGTTGCGAGCTTCCTGGGAGCCCTGGGGAGTGGGACGTGGCGCAGGGACGTGCTGGCCGCTGGAGGGAAGGGGCTTGGGTCACGGGGAGTGGCGGAGTTCCTGCACTTCCGCTCCAGCCGACTCTGCGGAGCAGGAGTTGAAACTGTTTGGGTAAACGAAGGGGAGTGATTTTCAACTTAAAGTGGAGTCGGATGTTACGTGATGGGACTCAACCTTCTGTATGTTGCAATCTTGACCGGGCCTTGTGGGTCACCATGATGTCTGGCTGCTGCGGGCCGGTGGGGCAGGCCAGGCCCTGAACCAGGTGTGTGTGCAGGGAGGGGGGGCCCTCAGGTCTCCGCTAGCCCTGCCTTTGTGCCGTGAGGAAGGAGCAGGAGCGGGGGCCTGGGGAGGACCCTCGGGGGCTGTATCTCCTGGGCGCTGATGCCCCAGCCTGCTCTGCCTTTCCCACCGCACTCCCAGGGGGCAGAGTGCCTTGTGCAGCCCGGACGACTGTGGCCCCGGCCTCTGCTCTTAGCCTCCGCCCACCCTGGCGGCCGTTGCTGTGATGGGGCTCGGTCTAAAGGACCATACGGGAAGCTGTGGCTCCTCTCCACTCCGGTTCCAACGTGAAGAAAGGCGTCAGGACCTCGACCCCGTTGTTGGAGATGTTGTGGGGAGCTCTGCCGTGCCTGCAGCTGCTCCGGGCACGGTGGGTTCACCGTCCATTGCTGGCAGAGTTTGCTCTGCTTTGCTTTCTAAAGCCACAATTCTGTGCCCGCCGTGCCTGTTGTCTTCAGCCAGGGCCTGGTCACGTGGGATCCTCCTCAGGGGGGAACACATTGTCCACTTGCGGGCTGCTGGCCTCGCAGGCGGCCTCCGTGACTTCACCATTCTTCCACCCAGACTTCTGTGTGTTTTGGGTGACAGTCCTGTACCATAGGTGTGTTCGTCGCACATGTCTCCTGAAACTCAACAATAAGGAATAAAATAACCCGATAAATATGAACCAAAGGCCAGGACAGACCCGACCAGAGAAGACACACAGAGGGCAGTTAGCTGTGCATCACCAGAGAGGTTGATGGGGACGACAGTGAGATGCTGCTCATGCTGATTAGATTGCTCAACATACAGGGCGCGGACACCGCCGCCGAGTACCGGGGGTGGGTGTGGCGCAGCGAGGCTCTCGGTCACACTGGTGGGAAGGTGGCCAGCAGTCCCACACTCGGCTCAACACACTGTACCTTACATTCCAGATGGGATCCTGGGGGCTCCCCAGAGGCGCTGGAATGTCTGTCCACACGAAAGCCTGCCTGTGGATGCGGGCGGCAGCTTTATCCATGATCGCCAAAGCTGGGAGCCACCGTGATGTCCTGCAGGGGACGAGTGGGTAAGCAGACAGTGGACATCCAGACACGGAGGTTGTTACTCGGCACCAAAGGGAATGAGGTGACTGTGGAGCCCAGAGAGGACCTGAGGGCCCTACACGCCTGTCACCAGTGAAAGACGCCATCCCAAGAGGCCCCGTGCTGTGTGATGCCAACTCTGTGACATCCGGGAAAGGCAAAACTATGGAGACGGCAAAAACACCGGCCGTTCCAGGGGCTGGGGAAGGGAGGGGTGAAAGGGAGGAGCCCAGAGGTCTTTGGGGGTGGGGAAGCTGCTCTGTGTGATGCCGAGACAGTGGCACACACAGGTGACAGTGTGCACGTGTGTGATGCTGAGATGTAGACACACATGTGTGATGCCGAGACAGTGGGCACACACAGGTGACAGTGTGCACACATGTGTGATGCTGAGATGTAGACACACATGTGTGATGCCGAGACAGTGGCACACACAGGTGACAGTGTGCACGTGTGTGATGCTGAGATGTAGCCACACATGTGTGATGCTGTGACAGTGCGCACACACATGATGCTATGACAGTGGACACATGTATGTGATGCTGAGATGGTGTGCACACATGCGTGATGCTGAGATGTGGACACATGTGTGATGCCAAGACAGTGGGGACACATGTGACACTGTGACAGTATGCGCACGTGTGTGATGCTGAGATGTAGCCACACATGTGTGATGCTGTGACAGTGGGCACACACAGGTGACAGTGTGCACACGTGTGATGCTGAGATGTAGACACACATGTGTGATGCTGTGACAGTGGGCACACACAGGTGACAGTGTGCACACGTGTGATGCTGAGATGTAGACACACATGTGTGATGCTGTGACAGTGGGCACACACAGGTGACAGTGTGCACACGTGTGATGCTGAGATGTAGACACACATGTGTGATGCTGTGACAGTGGGCACACACAGGTGACAGTGTGCACACGTGTGATGCTGAGATGGTGTGCACACATGTGTGATGCTGTGACAGTGGGCACACACAGGTGACAGTGTGCACACGTGTGATGCTGAGATGTAGACACACATGTGTGATGCTGTGACAGTGGGCACACACAGGTGACAGTGTGCACACGTGTGATGCTGAGATGTAGACACACATGTGTGATGCTGTGACAGTGGGCACACACAGGTGACAGTGTGCACACGTGTGATGCTGAGATGTAGACACACATGTGTGATGCTGTGACAGTGGGCACACACAGGTGACAGTGTGCACACGTGTGATGCTGAGATGTAGCCACACATGTGTGATGCTGTGACAGTGGGCACACACAGGTGACAGTGTGCACACGTGTGATGCTGAGATGTAGACACACATGTGTGATGCTGTGACAGTGGGCACACACAGGTGACAGTGTGCACATGTGTGATGCTGAGATGTAGACACACATGTGTGATGCTGTGACAGTGCGCACACACATGATGCTATGACAGTGGACACATGTATGTGATGCTGAGATGGTGTGCACACATGCGTGATGCTGAGATGTGGACACACGTGTGATGCCAAGACAGTGGGGACACATGTGACACTGTGACAGTATGCGCACGTGTGTGATGCTGAGATGTAGCCACACATGTGTGATTCTGTGACAGTGGGCACACACAGGTGACAGTGTGCACACATGTGTGATGCTGAGATGTAGACACACGTGATGCTGAGACAGTTGGGACACACGTGATGCTGTGACAGTGTGCACATGTGTGTGATGCTGAGGTGTGGACACGTGTGTGATGCTGTGATAGTGCACATGTGTGTGATGCTGAGATGGTGTACACACATGTGTGATGTGGAGTTGTGGGCACACATGTGTGATGCTGAGACAGTGGGGACACATGTGACACTGTGACAGTGCGCACACATGTGTGATGCTGAGATGTGGACGCACATGTTTGACACTGTGCACATGTGTGTGACGCTGAGATGTGGACACGTGTGTGATGCTGTGACAGTGGACACACGTGTGTGATACTTAGATGGTGTGCACACATGTGTGATGCTGAGATGTGGACGCATGTGTGTGACACTGTGACAGTGTGCACACATGTGTGATGCTGAGATGTGGACACACATGTATGATGCTGTGACAGTGCACATGTGTGACGCTGAATGTGGACACGTGTGTGATGCTGAGGTGTGGACGCACGTGTGTGATGCTGAGACAGTACACATGTGTGACGCTGAATGTGGACACGTGTGTTGCTGTGCAGGAGGCACTGTAGCAGTGGCACACACCGTGGAGCGCTTACCTAAGCCCACGGGAGGTGCGACCCCAAGAGTAAGCCTTCCGTGGGCTGTGGGCTTGGTGAGGATGCGGAGGCTCTGTTGGCTCATGATGTCCCCAGTCACCCTCAGGTGAGGACGGTGATGGGGCACCTGGCCCATGTAGGGGCAGGGGGCACCTGAGACATCTCTGCTCTCCGCACAGTTTGCTGTGGGCCTGAAATTGCTGTAAAAAAGCCTTTTTTCCAAGAAAGAAGGAAAATTACAAAAAAGCCCATGTTTTTCTTCAAAAATATTCCAGTTCTTAGATGAAATTCTCTCTTACAATTTGTCTTGAAATGTTGATCACATATATGTTAATTGTATCTGACAGTGTCAGTGACTCAGTTTCCTGTTAGTTATATAGTTAGATATAGTTAGATTGTTGTATTTTTTAAAATATTTATTTTTTGTTTATTTGAAAGAGTTAAAGAGAGAGGTAGAAAGACAGAGTTACAGAGAGGTAGAGAGAGAGGTCTTCCATCGTCTGGTTCACTCCCCAGATGGCTGCAATGGCCAGATCTGAGCCGGTCTGAAGCCAGGAGCCAGGAGCTTTTTCTGGGTCTCCCATGTAGGTGCAGGGGCCCAAGGACTTGGGCCGTCATCATCTTTTTTTAAGATTTATTTTTAAGTCAGAGTTACACACAGAGAAAAGAGGGGGGAGAGAGAGAGAGAGAGAGAGAGGAGAGAGAGAGAGAGGTCTTCTATCTGCTGGTTTACTCTCCAGTTGGCAGCAACGGCCGGAGCAGTGCCAATGTGAAGCTGGGAGCCTGGACCTTCCTCCAGGTCTCCCACATCTTCTTGGGCATCTTCTACTGCTTTCCCAGGCCACAGCAGAGAGCTGGATAGGAAGAGGAGCAGCTGGGACTAGAACCGGCGCCCACATGGGATACCAGCGCTTCAGGCCAGGGCTTTAACCCGTTGTGCCACAGCACCAGCCCCAGGTTGTTCTATTGATCTTTGTGGTTGGTGGTATGGTGCCCACCTCCCAACGTGACCTTATTTGGAGATAGGGTCTCTGCACTTGTAGCTAAGGATGCACTGACAGCCTACCAGGCTGTGGGAGGCCCAACCCCAGTGAGCGTGCCCTGGAAGAGGGAAGAGGACACACAGACACGGGGGGGAGGCTGGAGCCATGTGGCTTCAAGCCACGGAGCCAGCAGAGCCACCAGGAGCTGCTTCCGGGGAGTGCAGTCCACTGAGCCTGGTTTCAGACTTCTGGCTTCCGCAATGGAGAGCCCCTACATTCCTGTGTTGTTTGCCCCAGGTGCGGTGATCATATTTGTGGGACAGCAGCCAGAGAACCAGTCAGTCTTACTGCTGGGGAGGTTTTCCTTGGATTTCTGGTCTGGCCTAAGAAGTGCACAGGCTGTGTGGGCTGTGAGCTTCTTCCAGGAGGAATCCGCTCCCTGCTCCCACAGGCTGAGCCCTCAATACCTCTGTTGGCACAGTGTGTGTGGAGCTGGCCGGAGATGAGACAGGCTCTGTCGCCCCAGCATGCCGACCCTACCCCACTCGCTCTTTTGCTGTAAGATTCCTGGCATAGAACCTAGCGGTGCAACACAGTCCCGCCTTCCTAGTCCAGAACGCCCACGTGTGTCTCAACAGCACAGGAACGCATAAGAAATTAAGTTTCCCACCACTGTTTGTGTCGCTTCCTCCGCCCCTTCCACGCTTTCTGGGGAAGCCCAGTGCTGGGGCTGGGGCTGGGGCTGGGACTTTGGATCCCTCTCTCCAGATCTTGGCCTCTCCAATCCCGGGTGCTCTGTTAGTCTCGGACCGCACGCTGAAGGGGACGGATGCTCCGCGGACGGTTTTCTGTTTCTGAGCTGTCTGGTTTCCTGTGCAGCACTGGCAAGCCTGTTCCCATGGGGTCCAGGCAGCTTTTCCTGACTGGTTTCATTGCCTGAAATGTTGCGTTTGTTGTGAGGACGCTGAGCAGATTCGGTGCCACTTGGAGCAGCTGAGATCCTGGGGCAGAGGGAGGCGTGTGAGCCTGCGTTTAGCTTCCGGGCTCCATGGCTGCCCAGCAGTGTCCCCTGGGTGAGTGGCCCAGGTCTTGGTTTGCTTGGTGTTGTCCCTGCTGTGTGGAGTGGTTGTGCGAATCATGATACCACCGTGACTTCTGGTATGGTTCTGCCCAGAGTGTGAAGCTGGTGTGGGAAGATGGAGATGTCTCTGCTTCAGTTCCATGTTAATATGCACAAAGTACTACAGTTTTATTGAAGGTGTCTCCAATACTGTCTTCTGCTACCTACAGAGTGTGATGGCTGCAGCCGTCTCAGGGTGAAAGAGAAGGCAGGTGGCAGGGGCAGGAGGGTGGGAGGGGTAAATGGGAGACCTGATAGCTGAGGCCGTCAGTGGCAGACACCATTGGACTCAGTCCCTGGAGACCCAGATGCCCGGGGCAGAGGGGTGGGATCCGAGGCCCAGTTTCCACCAAGAGTTTACGGCCAATTCTCCCTCTTGATGGGATCACTCATATGGTGATCTGTGGACAAGGTCAAAAGTGACCACACTGCAAAGAACGTAGAGGTACACAGGACCCAGGAAACGCTTCCTGCTGCACACCTGAAACTCCCGCTGCCCGGCCTGTCACACCGTGTGTCCTGTCACACCCCGTCCACACGTCTGTGTCCTCCTGTCACGCCCCGTCCACACGTCTGTGTCCTCCTGTCACGCCCCGTCCACACGTCTGTGTCCTCCTGTCACACCCCGTCCATACGTCTGTGTCCTCCTGTCACACCCCGTCCACACGTCTTTGTATTCCTGTCACACCATGTCCACACGTCTGTGTCCTGTCACACCCCATCCCACGTCTGTGTCCTCCTGTCACACCCCGTCCACACGTCTGTGTCCTGTCACACCGTGTCCACAGGTCTGTGTCCTCCTGCCACACCATGTCCACACGTCTGCATCCTCCTGTCACACCGTATTCACGAATCGCCCCATCCTCTGAACTGTGTCTTCCCGTCATGCCGTGTCCTCATGGGGTGAGAAGTGCAGGGGTCTCTGGGTCCTTCCTGTTGGGTGCTCACCCCACAGACCTCATCGCCCGAGGGGCCCCGCCTCCCTTTTCCACACCCCGGGGTTAAGATTTCAGCAGACAGAGGAGAGCAGGGGTGGACACCGACATTCAGGCCAGAGCAAGTGAGGAGCAACAGCCGTGCCGTCCGCTGCTCCAGTCCCTTCCTCACAATACTCCTCTCCCACAAGAACTCGGCCCTCGCGTCCTAGACGGAGCTGATGGCACCAAGCCCACAGCTGATTGTGTCCTATTCCTGCGGGAAGGACACATGTCTTGCCCCACTTATCTCGGGAAGCCCCGGGCCCACCCCACCACCTTCACTGGGATCCCAGTCCCACACATACCTGACCGTGAGCACAGCTTCTCTGACCGGCTCTCAGTGTCACAGACGTGGTGTGACAGGAGGACACAGACGTGTGGATGGGGTGTGACAGGACACAGACATGGGACAAGGTGTGACAGGAGGACACAGACATGTGGACGGGGTGTGACAGGACACAGACGTGTGGACGTGGTGTGACAGGAGGACACAGACGTGTGGACGCGGTATGACAGGACACAGACGTGGGACGGGGTGTGACAGGAGGACACAGACGTGGGACGGGGTGTGACAGGACACAGACGTGGGACGGGGTGTGACAGGACACAGACGTGTGGACGGGGTGTGACAGGAGGACACAGACGTGGGACGCGGTGTGACAGGACACAGACGTGGGACGGGGTGTGACAGGACACAGACGTGTGGATGTGGTGTGACAGGAGGACACAGACGTGTGGACGCAGTGTGACAGGATACAGACGTGTGGATGGAGTGTGACAGGACACAGACGTGGGACGGGGTGTGACAGGAGGACACAGACGTGTGGACGCAGTGTGACAGGAGGATGCAAACATGTGGACGGGGTGTGACAGGAAAACAAAGACGTGTGGACGTGGAGTGACGGGAGGACACAGATGTGTGGATGTGTTGTGATAGGACAGACGTGTGGACGGGGTGTGACAGGACACAGACGTGTGGATGTGGTGTGACAGGAGGACACAGACATGTGGACGGGGTGTGACAGGACACAGACGTGTGGACGGGGTGTGACAGGAGGACACAGACGTGTGGACGGGGTGTGACAGGAGGACACAGACGTGTGGATGGGGTGTGACAGGACACAGACGTGTGGACGCGGTGCAGTATGGAGATGCAGTGAGATGTGAGGCCATGGTGTGACGTGAGGTTGTGGTATGAAGTGAGGACGCAGTATAACAATGCCAACCGGGACCCAGTACGTGGGCTCACGTGGCCCTTAGCCAGCCATGCCCGGGCCTGGCCTCCAGGCCCCAGAACTGAGAGCACAGACGCCTGCTGTTGAGAAGCCCCTGTGTGGTTGTTAGAGCAGCCAAATGGACAATGCACAGAGACGTCACTCAACAAACAAGTTGCGTCGACTGCGAGGCCATTGGTGCGCTGAGGCGAGCCAGACGCACACCAGAGATGCAGATCCCTGGTGCGGCGTCTGAGGGACTCGGGGCAGCAGGCTTCAAGGGTGTTTATCCCGTGTCTGTCTCGTGCTGAACTGGCATGCTCACCGCTATGTGTGCAGGTGCTTGGTGCTGGTCCCCACACACCAGATGGCATGAGGGCCTGTGCGGCTCCCAGGTACTTCTCACACGTGTGCGAGATCCTTGTGACTGCACACGCCTTACACATGAGAAGCCTGGCCCGGGAGCCCAGCCAGCTGGCCTGAGTCCAGAACCCCTCCGTGGCGAGCTGGTGTGTGGTGAGCTCAGAGGGTTCTTGGGCCCGGGCATCCCTGAGGCCTCCCGGTGCTGGTGCCAAGTGCTGCTGTGCTTGGCCGCGCCAGGTGTGTGTTATTTATAATTGGCTGCCCGCTGTGCACCCTGCAGGACCTGTGAAGCCAGCAGGACCTGCCCCTCACGGCGGCGGCCGCCTGCCTCGTCGGCAAGTTGGGTCTTATTTATAGAGCGCACCGCAGGCGTGCCTTGTGTCCACTCCTCATGTGGAGCCCAGAGACAGACAGTGCTGCCTGGAATAGGGAAAGCCCACACGCACCCGTCCCCGGGGCCACCGTGCTACCCACGGTGTCCTGGCCTGCTGGGGAAACCTCACGCAGCACACACGGTTCCCACAGAGGCTCGGCCTCGGTGCCCACACCACCGTAGCTGGAAAGAATTGGGAACGTGTCGGAGAAGTTCCAGCCACGAGTCACAGCGAGAGGAGGGCTGGTGTTGGGGTGGGGAGGGAGGGGCAGTGCCTTTGCCCCGGTGTGGTCTCCCTCCCAGGTAGGGGATTGCCCTGGGGACTCGAGGGACGCTCCCCACGTTGGATGCTCCCCAACTTGAATGAGACATTTTCCCTCTTCACAGCGGGCTGATGATTTACGATGCAGGTGTCAGTTGGAGAGAGGCAGTCCTGGGGGTCTATTTATAGCCTCTCCTTGGTCCATAAAAGGGAGGGGAGAGCAGCCCTGCCGTCTTCAGCTGGAGCTGCCGGGTGGACAGAGCCTCTCCCTCCTTGCCGTCGCCTTCCCGCGTGGGTGAGCGTCTTCCTTCTTGCCTACCCTCATCTGTGGCTTTGGGGGAAGGGGTGATGAGGGGTGCAGACGCCGGCTTCCCCGGGTTTCTTGAGTGGTCCTGTCTCAGGGTGAGGAAGAGCTGACCCTAACCCTCCCTCACGGACAAACTGCACTGAGGAAAGAGCAGACCTGGGCGCTGTCAGGGGGTCTGCGTTGGTGCTGTCGGTGCCCCGGCCACGTGGTCTCTGCAGCTGCCCGCCTGCCCGCCTTCCCCGTGCCTGGGTTAGCCCCTGGTTTTGCAGCCCTGAGGTCTCTGAGTCATTGACTGTGGTCGACAGCTGTCATGAGGTTCTCAGAGGGAGCTTTGAGCAGGTGTGAGACAAGGGTGGGTGGTTTCTTAGCAGGGAGAAGGGACCGTTGAGCTTGGGATGGGCGAGTGCCTGGGGACGGGACGAGTGTCGGTCCTCCTGGCAGGACGGTCCGGGTCTGCCTCGGAGCACAGGTGTCCCTGCTGTTCTCGCTCTGGGCTTCTGAGGTCCTTGCAGAGATGGGCCTGGTGCCTACCGCACTCGTGCCTTGGAAACCACAGCAGCCTCTGGGGGCCGGGGCTTTGCCCTCAGAGGCCCGGGCAGGGCAGGGCAGGGCAAGGCGGTGGGAAAGGGGGCGTTGTTGGGGGAAGCTCCCAACTTTCCCAGTCTCCTCCTTTCACGTGAAGTTCCGCTGTTACAGGGGAGAAGCGGAGCAGGAATCAGGGCCAACGCGAGCAGAGACACCTTGGGGGTGACTCGAGCCCAGTCCCGGAGTGGAGGCTGTCCTGGAATCCAAGGGCTTGGTCACTTGGGTCCAGGCCAACTCTGGGGGCCGACTCAGCGATTGCCCCGCCCTCGGGATGGACATGCTGTGATGTGCTGACCCTCACTGCCCGGACAGGCAGCGGGGCGAGGGCAGGGCCGAAACGCAGGTGCTGTGAGCGGTGCTGCATTGCTCCGTCCGCTCCACCTGCTGGGAATGTGCTCAGTGCACCTGCATTGAGATGCCCCAGGGAAGCTCGGTGGGGTCTGACGACTTCATGGTTGGTCATTCTCCACTCACAGAGACTGTGGGTTTCCGGGCCACTGGCCTGTGCACATTATCCCGTTTCTCCTTCCAAGCACTAGGGGAAAATGAACCGGGCTCCTAGGGAGCTAAAGAACTTGGTGGCCACAAGGTTGAGGCCATCAGTCACACCTGTCATGACTCTCAAAGGTTATTCCGAGGTGCACTTGAGAATTTGGCTGCCAGCAATCAGGCATCAGACCACGTTGGATTAATTGCTGGCGGTGTGCTTACGAATTATCTCGTGCTCGGTTGTTTTTTTGGTGATAAGCCCTTTGGAAAACGCTTTGGTGACCGTGGTTCCCATGTGAGTGGGCTCTGAGAGGTCCTGGGAGCTGTGGGCTTGGCCACTGGGGTCACTCCCCTGCGGTGCTGTCATGTGGCGGCGTGCTGATTGCTCTTGGCATTTTTACCCGCACAGATGACAATTCCTTTCATACAATGGAAGTGGGTGCTTCGTACTTGACATGTTCTCACGGGCTGAAGCTGCTCGTGGTGACGTGAGAGATGTGTTCCAAATATTCTCTGCAGGAAGGGATTAGCGTGCAGAGAGCCGCGGGCTCAGTCCTGCCGCGAGCCAGGCTCACGTTTCGCCCTGCTGTCCTCATCCCGGAACGTGTCAGGAGCACGCGGGTGTGGCCGGCAGCGACCATGGGTGCCGCTCCGGCGTTCAAGGGCAGCCGCGGTTAAGTGCGCCAGTGCCGTTTGAGCTTGCAGGGGTACTGGTCACCCCAAGTTCAGCTCCCAGGGAAGCAGACCGAGGCCCCACCCTGAGAGGCACAGGTTGCTGCATCCTTGAGTCCAGGTCTCCAACGCCCAGCACCTGGAAGACCCACGTGGCAGCTGGTCTCCGAGGAAATGTGGTTTTCTTTGCCTTTGGGGTGTGTGTGTGTGTATATGTGTGTATGTATGTGTGTGCGTGTGTGTATGTGTGTGTGTGTTGGGTGACACTGGACACTTATCTGAGATAGTTTTCTTGAAAAGGAAAATAGCTTCGTATGTACACAGTGGGGGGAGGTCTAGAGGCCCGAATGGTCTCCAAGGTATCTTCTTCTTCTTTAAGATTCATTTATTTACTTGAAAGTCAGAGTTAGACAGAGAGAGAAGGAGAGGCAGAGAGAAGAGAGGTCTTCCATCCACTGGTTCACTCCCCAGTTGGCCGCAGCAGCTGGAGCTGTGCCAATCCGAAGCCAGGAGCCAGGAGCCAGGAGCCAGGAGCTTCCTCCAGGTCTCCCATGTGGGTGCAGGGGCTCAAGGACTTGGGCCATCTTCTACTGCTTTCCCAGGCCACAGCAGAGAGCTGGATTGGAAGTGGAGCAGCTGGGAGTCGAACCAGTGCCCACATGGGATGCCAGCACTGCAGGCGGCAGCTTTACCTGCTACACTACGGTGTCAGCCCCAAGTCCCCTCTTCTTTAATGCACAATATGTAGTTTCCTGAAGCTGGGAGCATTCTCCCAGCCTTTTCTTACATAAAGGCCTACAGAGACTCCAAGGCTGCAGCTACCGTGCCCATGCTGGACCAGAGGTCTCGTCACACCTGTCTTGGGGACGTCCTAGGCTGGTCTGGACAACTGCACAGGAGCAAAGAAACAGCAAAAACATGGGCTGGGGGCCGGGCTGGGCTTGTCTGGGTCGTGCGGGGGACAGAGAGGAGTCGGGGAAGGGGAGTGAAGCTGGGGCACCTTGACCAGAGGGTCAGTTGTCCAGAGGACAGAGCTTGCTCCCTGAGCCAGGAACTCTAAGATGTTTCCACCCATGAAATCCAATGGTTCCATGATTCAGGCTTGGCAGGCGCCTAGCAGATGCTCCAAATGTCTGTGGACGGAAAGTGAGTGGAACCAAGGGTCAGTGCATTGGGAGGGCCCTTGACAGCTCTGAGTATTGACGGCCCTGAGCACAGCGTTTCAGGAAGCAGGGAGCAAGTGACAGCTCTGAATGTTGACGGCCCTGAGCACAGCGTTTCAGTAAGCAGGGAGCAAGTGTGGGAGCTAACGCAGCGAAGCGTTCTCCCGCCACGGCCCGTGGACGTCTCTGGGGGACCGATGCCCAGCACAGCTGTGCGTGAGGGTGAGGGACACCGGAAGTGTGTGCACTGGATGGAAGCTCTGCTCTCATCACTACCAAGCACACGGAGTGCTCGGAGGCTTCCAGGCGCCAGGCAGTGATACACGGAGGGTGCCGACGTGCACGTGGCACTGGCCAGGGTGGCCAGGCTCTGAGCTGTGAAGGCCGGGGCCGTTCTGTCTCCCTGCCCTGAGCGTGGGTCTCACCAAGTGTGGCTGACTCTCCGGGCGTGTAGCTGCCATGGTTTAAAAATTCCAAGGTAGCTTATTCTGTCCTGTGACAGGCCATTGTTGCGCTCCTACATGCCAAGAAATGCAAACACATTGCAGGTGACTCAGCACTCACATAGAGACCGAGATGAGCTGGTTCCACCGGGAGGAGAAGTGTGTGACGCGGACGGCTCCTGACCTCTGCTGTAGCGAGTCACCCCCGTTAGTGCAGATCAAAGTGAGAATGCCCTGGCCTCCTTCTGAGTTCAGGTTGGTGAGCTCTTCCCAGCTGCACAGAGCCAGCGCATAGCATATGGGCAGGGACTTTTCTGGAAGATCTTTTGGCTGACTCCCTGGAAAATCCCACTGAGATGTGGCTGAAGATATGTCAAGTGATGAGGAGTTTTTTCAGATACATTTTCCCATCTACAGAGCTCAACGTAACCGCACGTGGTAGAGACAGCTGCCGACTGAGGCTGCCGTACTCTCCTGCGAGCCCACTGGCGGGCATGACGCAGATGCGACAGGCAAGTTAGCTCGAGGCCCCGGGTTTATGCTGGAGTCAGAATTTGAGCCCAGGTCTACCGGGACGCCCGGCCTCTGTCTGCATCATAACGCCTCCCTCAGACTGGGGGAGGTGCTTGGTTGTGCTCTATCAGGTGCGACGTTCTGTTCTGTGTTTGTAATCACGTGTGCTTCCCACTGCAAAACCCCAGCCGGGTCCCCACGTGTAGGCGTGGCTGGCTGACCTGTTGTGAAGAGGAAGTGCCGAGCTGCGTGAGTGTGGCAAGGGAACGGGAGTCCGATGGCCGGCCCGCTGGGCGCGCCCTCTCCTCTTGGGTCCTGTGTGTGTTGATCTCCACGTAGAACAGGTGTTTGCTGGCCCTTGAGGATCCTTCCAAACTCTGATGTTGGGATTCTAGGGGGTCACAGGTCTGAAGGAAATCAGTCATGAAGAGTACATTTGGGGTGAATCCCGTGTTTTGATTGGTTTTCTGAACCTGCCTGTGATCTAGACCACGGTGAGGAGTGCGGGTGAAGACGCTTTCCTCTCGCAGCCCAGCCCGCCTCCCCCACCCTGCAGGGTGGCCCCCACGTCCCTCGGGGATGTGCCCCGGGGCCCTGCCTGAACTTGGGTCCTTAACTCAAAGGGAGGCCTGGAGATCGGGTTTGGAGGAGCTCTCTTGGCCTTATTTGGGAAATTGGTGCTACTGGAATACCATCTCCACATGTCTGTCAGGATGGCTGGCTGGCCAGGCAGTGGCGTTTTACTTACTTTGGGCGGCCCACAACAAATGTTCTAACGTCTGCAATGCTTCAGACTCCCAGGTCTCCCACATGCGCTCCTCTCCCCACGTCTCTGACCGTGAGGCTGGGCTCGCACCCCTCCGGCCCACTCCCACCCAGCTCACCTCCCAGCAGCTTGTGGTTCCGGGGATCTGGATCCGGGGGTGGGTGCATCTTGAAGACCAGGTCCTTTCCAGGGGCCCCTTTGAGCGGTGCAGCGACTCCGGCTCTGGAGGCTGACGCGTGTGGCAGTTCCGCTCACACCCTGCCAGTCTCCCTGCTGCGCCTCCCTGCTGCGCCTTTGTGGCCTTGGCCCTGGTTGGTGCCCACATCAGGGCTCTTTGTGGGGCCTCTTTGGCCGCCCTGTGCTCCTGTGCCCCGTGCTCTGTTCTCGCTTCCTGGGGCATTTGTGTCCCCCTCTGCCCTGGCTCTTATCGCACCTCCTCTTGTATTCTAAGCATTTGTTTATGTCTCTAATCTGTGCTTTAATTATTTTTATCCCTCGCACTCACGATGCTTTTAGCACTGCCACGACACAGCCGGTACTCTATAAATACTTGTTTAGTGTTAAGTGAAATGTACTACAGCCCAATCTCCCAGTTTCGTGGAAGCAAATGGAAGATGAACTCCAGGGCCAGGGAGCTCCATGGCTCCCTGACCTCTGGGCTGAGGTGATTCCCTCTTCTGTCCCTCTCGAGTCGAGTTTTTTCCTGTTTGTTTGTTTGGAAGCGGAGCAGCTGGGACTTGAACCAGCGCCCAGATGGGTACCCACTAAGCCACAACGCTGGCCCCTGGAATGGGTTTTATTGGCCATTGCTTTCCCTTTTGCACAGTGGAGGTGGGCGCTCAGGATGTCTGAAAGGGAGCTCAATGCCACTTGTCCCTCCTTGTCCCCAGGAGAACACAAGATGTCCCTTGTTGCGGTGCCCTTCTACCAAAAGAGACACAAACACTTCGACCAGTCCTACCGAAACATCCAGACCAAGTACCTGATGGATGAATACACAGCGAAGAAGTAAGTGGCTGTGGTGAGGGGTCCGACGGGGAAAGAAGTCTGGTGCGGTTCCCTGATGCCTGTGTCCCGGCTGACCGGGCGGTGTGGATCCTGCTGGCCCGGCTCCAGGCCTGTGGAGTGGGGGAGGCAGGGCCATCCCAGTGTGAGCTCAGGGACATTCCTCTCCCAGGACGAGGGTCTAAAATGGTCCCCAAACAAAGGGCACAGAGAGGGGTACTAGCGGAGCAGACGTGGGCAGGAAATCTACTGGGGCAAAGTGAAGGGGTGGGCGGCTGGCGTCAGCACACTCCTGCTACTCGGGGGTCCACGTGCAGGTGTGGCTCTGTCCCCTGTGGAGGCTGCCACGCTGGGGTCCCTGTGCAGGCGTGGCTCTGTCCCCCGTGGAGGCTGCCACGCTGGGGTCCACATGCAGGCGTGGCTCTGTCCCCCGTGGAGGCTGCCACGCTGGGGTCCACGTGCAGGCGTGGCTCTGTCCCCCGTGGAGGCTGCCATGCTGGGGTCCACATGCAGGTGTGGCTCTGTCCCCCGTGGAGGCTGCCACGCTGGGGTCCACGTGCAGGCGTGGCTCTGTCCCCTGTGGAGGCTGCCATGCTGGGGTCCCTGTGCAGGCGTGGCTCTGTCCCCCGTGGAGGCTGCCATGCTGGGGTCCACTTGCAGGCGTGGCTCTGTCCCCCGTGGAGGCTGCCACACTGGGGTCCCTGTGCAGGCGTGGCTCTGTCCATGTGGAGGCTGCCACGCTGGGGTCCCTGTGCAGGCGTGGCTCTGTCCCCTGTGGAGGCTGCCACGCTGGGGGGTCCACGTGCAGGCGTGGCTCTGTCCCCCGTGGAGGCTGCCACGCTGGGGTCCCTGTGCAGGCGTGGCTCTGTCCATGTGGAGGCTGCCATGCTGGGGTCCCTGTGCAGGCGTGGCTGTGTCCCCCGTGGAGGCTGCCATGCTGGGGTCCACGTGCAGGCGTGGCTCTGTCCCCTGTGGAGGCTGCCACGCTGGGGTCCACTTGCAGGCGTGGCTCTGTCCCCTGTGGAGGCTGCTGTGGGCCACCCCTCCTTCCCATGTTCCCCAGGCGTCTCCTGGGTGGCAGCGTGTGCCCGGCCCACACTGCAGCTGCGTGTCTGCAGCTTCAGCAGACCGATTAGAAGGTGGCAAGGAGTCAGGAGAGAGGGCGCTGGGCCGGGTGTCCCAGCCATAGGTCCCTGCCTCCCGTCACCAACACCCTCTATTTAGAAACACTTGTGGTGCTTTTGCTTAGTTGCCATCCTGTGTGATAAACAAAGCCAAACAGTGGGAGCCCCCCCCCCCCAATGGCCCTAGGGAGTTCATGTCCGCCAGATATATATAATCATGGCCCTGAGCCTGGACCAGGGGAGGCCTGACGGGGCTGAGGGAAATGGCCCCAGGGGACAGAGTAGCACAGGGACACAGGCGAGGAGCTGTGTGTGTGAGTGCATGTGCACGCGTGTCTGTGGTACGTGCATGTGTGTGCCCCTGTGCAGGTATGTGTGCATGATTGTGCATGTGTGTCCATGTACACGCATGTGCGCACGTGACACACTGATCTGTCACAGATGCATGTGTGCTTGTTTGTGTGAATGTGTGCATGCACGTGTGTCTGTGTGCACATGTGAGTGTGCTCTGTGTGCAGCCGTGTGTATGGGCAGGACTGGGGTTTGTCAGGATGAAGTGCTGTGTCGTTGTGCACACCTAACTGTAGCTGATGTCCGTGCAGGCGAGCGTCCACCCAGATGTCCACCCACAAGTCTGCGTCCACCCAGATGGCCACCCACAAGTCAGCTTTGCAGAAAGCCTCCAGCCAGACGTCCTCTGGGGGCACAACCTGCCGGCTGTGTGCCAAGCGGCTGAGTGCGGCAGAAGAGGAGGAGCAGGAGAGCAAGAACAGGTACCGGCTGCCGGGCCCCTCTGCCACAGGAGCCACAGGAACCACAGGAGCCACAGGAGCTGTGGCTTCCCGGAGTGAGGACGGCGATGCCCCCGCCCTCTGCCTCTCGCTCACTCTTCCATCCCGGAAGCATAGGACCTGGAGGGAGCTGGCCTGTCGCTCAGTGGGGCAGACGCTGTGGTCACCTGGGCCCACGTCTGTGCCAGGCAGCGCCGAGTTCCGTCTCAGTGCTCCGTGCTCCCCTCTGCCCGCCCCGTGAGCAGCGGGACCTCCATGGAGCACATGGGGCCCTAAGTGTTGGGATGAATTTGGAATGCCCACTTGCCCGGCCGTGGCTGCTGCAGAGTCCGGGAGGCTGTGGGCGGGGCAAGGTCATCTTCCCGGGGCAGCCAGGGTTGGACAGTTGTGCCGTGGAAACCAGAGTGGGGAGGGTCCGTGACTTGTCATACTTTACATTTCGATGGGGCCGCAGGAATGAGACGGATTAAGCAGAGTGCCAGCCTGCGCATTATTTCCAGATGACGAGAAGCAGCTGCGACCGCACTTCGGCCTTTTAAGAACACAGCAAGCATGACGATCCACGGTGCTTCGGCTGCATTCGTTCGGCTTCGTTTCCCCTCCCTGCCCTCTGCTTCTCCTGGAAGATATTTCTGTCTCCCTAAAATCTTAAATCCTGATGGGAAGATGAGATTTGGGAAAACACGCTTCACTTTGGAAGCTGCATTATGATAAAGCAATGCTTAATGAAAGCTATGCATAGCTGGAAAGATGGACCCCTTTAAAAGCATTTTATTTATTTATTTGACAGGTAAAGCGAGAGAGAGAGAGAGAGAGCGAGCAATAGACAGATTCCATCTGCTGGTTTACTCTCCAAAGGCCTGCATGAACCAGGGCTGCAATGGTTGAGCCAGGACGAAGCCAGGAGCCTGGAACTCCATCCAGGTCTCCCACGTGGGGCAGGAGCCCCAGCATTTGGGTCCTCTTCTGCTGCTCTCTCATGTGCATTAGCAGGGAGCTGGGTGGGAAGTGAACTGGCCTTGATGTGGAGTGCCAGCACTGAGGGGGCAACTCAACCCGCGGCCCCAGCGCCTCTGAATTATCTTTAAATGCCTCAGGGGAATTTTGCCATGTGAATGAATTTTATTGTAAAATGAGGATTTTTTCTGGGAGGGGGGAGAACCACTTCAACAATGTAGACATTAAGACAATCTGGGTGTTTATGTACTGGGTTCTTCTTTCAAAAGAGTTCTTCTTCTGTTTAAGTTCTGGGGACTAGAAGCAGGAGCGCTTTGTGATCAATTAGACACTGGCGTGACCTTGAACGTACCCTGCGTGTCTACTGTGTTAGACACTGGCGTGACCTTGAACGTACCCCGTGTGTCTGCCGTGCCCCAGCAGGCGGTGGAGGCTGAGGCCTGAGGGCCAGCAGGCATCGGGCGATTTCTGCTGTTCCAGCCGGAAGGACCGCTGTCAGGGCTGGTTGCAGGACCTCACAGGAGGCCGGCCCCGCTGGGAGGCCAAGCACGCTGAGGAGGGGCTCCAGCTCTCCCTGCGCCCAGCTCTGACCTGGATGTGGGTGCTCTTCATCTGGCCGCCCCGCAGCTTAGTCTCAAAGCCACGTGTGGCTCGTCCCCCAGAAGGTTCCCTCCCAGTCAGGTCTTTCCTCCCCAGAAGGGAAGAGTGAGTGAGTGGACGGCATCGCAGGCTGGCCCTGGGCTGTGTGGGTCTTGCTGTGAGGCAGGCCCGGGGCTCGGGCAAGTGGCGTCATGGCCACGTGTTGGGGTTCAGTGTTCCCACTGCCCTGGGTTACTGCAGGTGCTTGTGCGTTGCTGGCCTGGTTTCTGTGGGAGGCAAGGTTGTGGGCTCATCAGCCTGAGTGACTGCTTATGACCCCGTGTGAAACCATCCTGATGGGGTGCTGGGCACACCGTGGGGACACACAGCTGGTTAGAAGGCCCCTCCAGGCCGGCGCCGCGGCTCACTAGGCTAATCCTCCGCCTAGTGGCACCGGCACACTGGGTTCTAGTCCTGGTCAGGGCGCTGGATTCTGTCCCGGTTGCCCCTCTTCCAGGCCAGCTCTCTGCTGTGACCAGGGAGTGCAGTGGAGGATGGCCCAAGTGCTTGGGCCCTGCACCCCATGGGAGACCGGGAGAAGCACCTGGCTTCTGCCATCAGATCAGCGCGATGCGCCGGCCGCAGCGTGCCGGCCACGGCGGCCAGTGGAGGGTGAACCAACGGCAAAGGAAGACCTTTCTCTCTGTCTCTCTCTCTCACTGTCCACTCTGCCTGTCAAAGAGAAAATAAAAGAAGGCCCCTCCAACCCTGTACTGGGTCTCTGTGGACAGTGGGCCCCCGCATGGCACATCTGTCTGCAGCGGAGACCCGTGTGCACTGACACGGGGGATCCCGCCCAGACCCACAAAACCCCTTCTCAGTGTACGGATCTGACTGGATCCACACTGGGGCTGACTCCTGCGAAGTCAGGGGTGGTGGCTGAGTTAGCAACACAGCCCCGGCTCTGGTCACTCAAGGGTAACGCCCACGGGGACTTCAGACAGCTCCAGACAGAGCGCATCTTCAGCTCGGAGGGAGCCCCACTTCTCAACTCCTCCCACGCACCTGTCCTGGGTGTGAGGGCCTCTGGCAGCATCTCCAGAGTCACGTGATGGGGCAGGGCCTCTGACAGCATATGTAGATGTTGGCACCACGTGTGTGCATGCTGACGACACGTGTAGATGCTGACAACATGGGGAGATGATGAGGAATGTGGGACAAGATGTGTGAGAGAGCCACAGGGCGTGGGGCTGGGGGTGAGTCTCGGGGGGTGGTCTCGGTGCTCCAGTCAGCCAGGCGGGAGTCAGTGAGTAGGGGTGGGAGACAGCGGAAAGGCCAGGTGCAGGGGAGGCAGCCGCCTGGAGGGGAACCAGCTGGCTGCGCACCGGGAGTGGCCGGCAGGGAGGACCCACATCCATGTTTCAGGCTTTACAGCTCCTTCGGCCGTGTCCTGTGTGCAGAAGCTGCAGAACTTCCTGGAATTCCGATTTCGAGCTTCCTGATCGGCTTGTGTTGGTCTTGGTTTGATTTGGGGTCCAGGAAGTTCTGACCACCCAGTGGGGCACGCGATGTTGTGGATGGCGCGTCGGGTGGCAGCCCTGATGGTGGCTCCAGCACAGGCCTCGTTAGCACAGCCTCACTTTGGGGTATGACGGCCGCTGGCCAGGTGGCCCTGGGTGGCCTGGACCGAGTGGACCTCAAGTCAGACTGGAACAGGACGCGCAGGCCAGTGGTTCTCAGCTGTGTTGAGTCTCAGTGCCTGGAGTCCTGCAGACAGCTTCGCCCCTTTACAAACCCAGGGTGTTGCATGTAGGCGCCCGGGGGCTCTGTGCACCCAAAGGCTGTTCGGTGGCTCCCGGTGTGGTGCAGCTTTATCAGGCTCCTACGCATGTGAGCTGCTGGTGTCTGCGGAATACTCCACGTGTGTCTGATTTCCTGGCTCGAGTCTGGAGCTCGCCGCTTGTCCATCGTCACATGTGCCGTGTCTCACGGGAGACTATGCACGGGGACCCTAGGAAGCACGGTGCCCGGTCTCAGGGCCGTCCCCCTCCCACCCCTCCCTGTGCCTCTCGTGGGTAACGAGAAAACGGGCGCATGGCTCGCCTCTCTTTAATTTCTCAGTCACGTGTAGCTCTTCCTCACAGCTTCTTCACGTATGATCTCAACATGTTTAACGAACCGACTTAGCAGAAACGGCGCTTCTGTTCCCGCTGCCCCACGGGAGGCAGTGCTGGGGGGACCTGTGCGGGCCTTGGCCCTGCCTGTCCTGTCACTGACGTGGCTTCTGCCTCCTGCAGGTACCGCTCCCTGGTGGCTTCTTACGGCGAGGCCAAGCGGCAGCGTTTCCTCAGTGAGCTGGCCCAGCTGGAGGAGAGTGTCCACCTGGCGCGTTCCCAGGCGCGCGACGTGGTGGACAAGTACGCCCTCCAGCAGATGGTAGGGGCCTGGCCTTGCAGAGGGGGCTGGGCGGGGGTCGGTCTGCGGTCCGGGCTGGGGACTGGCCTGGGGACCTGCCCTTGGGCCCCGCCCTCACCTGCTGGTTTCCACAGGTGGAGGACAAGATGGCCTGGGAGAGGCACGTGTTTGAGGAGCGGCTGAGCCGGGCGCCGGAGATCCTGGTGCAGCTGAGGTCCCACACCGTCTGGGAGAAGATGTCCGTGAAGCTCTGCTTCACCGTGCAGGGCTTCCCTACGCCCGTGGTGCAGTGGTGAGCGTGGTGTGGGGGCGGGGTGAGCACACAGAGATGGGAGGGGGTGAGCGTGGTGTGGGGGCGGGGTGAGCACACAGAGATGGGAGGGGGTGAGCGTGGTGTGGGGGCGGGGTAAGCACACACAGAGGTGGAGGGGTGAGCACACACAGAGGTGGAGGGGTGAGCTCACACAGAGGTGGGGGGGTGAGCACACACAGAGGTGGGGGGTGAGCTCACACAGAGGAGTTGAGGGGTGAGCCCACACAGAGGTGGGGGGGTGAATCCACACAGAGGTGGGGGTGAGCACACACAGAGGTGGGGGGTGAGCTCACACAGAGGTGGGGGGGGTGAGCACACACAGAGGTGGGAGGGGGTGAATTCACACAGAGGTGGGAGGGGGTGAATTCACACAGAGGTGGGGGTGAGCACACACAGAGGTGTTGAGGGGTGAGCCCACACAGAGGTGTTGAGGGGTGAGCCACACAGAGGTGGAGGTGAGCCCACACAGAGGTGGAGGTGAGCCCACACAGAGGTGGAGGTGAACCCACACAGAGGAGTTGAGGGGTGAGCACACACAGAGGAGTTGAGGGGTGAGCCCACACTGAGGTGGAGGTGAGCACACACAGAGGTGGGAGGGGTGAGCCCACACAGAGGTGGAGGTGAGCACACACAGAGGAGTTGAGGGGTGAGCCCACACAGAGGAGTTGAGGGGTGAGCCCACACAGAGGTGGAGGTGAGCACACACAGAGGAGTTGAGGGGTGAGCCCACACAGAGGAGTTGAGGGGTGAGCCCACACAGAGGTGGAGGTGAGCACACACAGAGGAGTTGAGGGGTGAGCCCACACAGAGGAGTTGAGGGGTGAGCCCACACAGAGGAGTTGAGGGGTGAGCCCACACAGAGGTGGGGGTAGAGCCCACACAGAGGTGTTGAGGGGTAAGCTCGGTGAGCCCACACAGTGGTGTGGGAGATGAGCCCATGCAGGTGAACCGTGGTGCAGGGCGGGGTGGGGTGGGTGAGGGGCTGGCAGGCTCTGCCCTGGGCACAAAGGAGACCCGAGTGATGCCTGCCTGGGGTCCGTCCTCTAGACGGTGGGCTCGGAACTCTGTGGAATGCTCCTGAAACCCAGGTCGTTGAAAAGAGTACACAGCAGTTTTTCCCTCAGTGATGTTGTTTCAGCTATTTTTTAAAATTTTTTTAAAGGCAGAGTTACATAAGGAGGAGAGAGAGAGAGAGAGAGAGAGAGAGAGAGAGAGAGAGAGAGAGAGAAAGAGAGAGAGAAGTGTATTTCCCATCCACTGGTTGACTCCCCAAGTGGGCCACAATGGCCAGGGCTGGGCCAGGCCAAAGCCAGGAGCCAGGAGCTTCCTCTGGGTCTCCCACGCGGGTGCAGGGGCCCGGGCACTTGGGCCGTCCTCTACTGCTTTCCCAGGCCACGGCAGGGAGCTGGAACAGAAGCGAGGAGCCTGGACAGGAACTGGCACTCATCTGGGATGCCAGTGTAGCAGGCTGAGGTCTACCCTCAGCAGGTTTTTAGGAGGACTTTTATTCAGAAGTCGTTCCCTGAAGCAAGCTATGTGTGCGTGCACAGCTGGGGGTCAGTTTGCATGCGCGTCAGTGCCTACTGGCACACAGCTGGGCCTGCCTGTAACTGTGGGGACGCATGGTGGAGACTCGAACCCACGACTTCATGGCTGCGGTGCCACAGAGGAGCTGCATCTCCACGCCGGCTGACACTTCCTATTTCGGCACCTGCTAGAATTAAGTACATCTGTAGCTCTCTGTTTACACTTTGACTTCAAAGGTCAATGGAAAATGGAATTAAAAGACGTTTATTTTGGCACAAAATTTCTTTGGAACACCGAGCTTAGGCTTTCATGAAACACACTCTGACACGTGTATGTTCCTTGGTCCCTGGGCCAGGTCACTCAGCAGCGGGTAGGGGCTTTGCTGCTGGCCTCTGCCAGTCAGGAGGGCTGGAAGGGAGGCTGAGGCCACCCCAAGGAGGGGCTGCCACTGTGTCCTGGGTGGCACCATGAGGCCTGCGGCCAGGACTCTGCGGTGAGACCCGGCACGTCTGTCCTGGCGCTGTGCTCAGCTGGGCTACGGCCTCGCTATGCTCAAGTGGGCAGCCTGGGACCAGCACCAGGCCGGCTTCTGACCCGAGCAACGGCAAATCCTGAGAACTCATGGGGTCCGGCTCTTGGGATACCAGGCTCCCCCAGCCTGGGGTACTGAGGGAGGCCGGGGTCGTGCACTAGTCGGGCGAGGGGCTGGGCCAAAGGACACGTCTATCTGCCTCGAGCTGAAGGTGGGCCTCTGTGCTCTAGGTACAAAGACGGCAGCCTGATCTGCCAGGCGGGGGAGCCCGGCAAGTACAGGATCGACAGCAAGTACGGCGTGCACACGCTGGAGATCAGCAGGTACGGTGCGGCCGCGCCGCAGGAGTGAGCGCTGCCCTTCCTTCCCGCGTCTCCGGGTGCCCAGTCTAGGTTTTTACCAAAGGATCGGGCCATCCGACCACCTGCCTCTGTCCAATGCTAGTCTTCTACAGCACTCCCTCAGGCCTCAGCTGTTGCTTTGTTAAATGGCCGTCACTACCTAACTAACGGGCCATAGCAAAGCCTTGCGCACCTGCCGAGGAGTCAGAAGTTTGGCTCCTCCCCCGGCCCCAGGTGACTTGGGCTGAGGCCAGGTGGCAGGGCTGTCACTGCCTCACCCACCTGAGGGAGTTCTGTGAGACAGGAAGGTGTGTCTGCGGCGGTGTGGACCACGGCGTGTGTGCGTGTACACACCAGGGAAAGGGGACACTGGAGCCGGGAGAGACGCTCAGCCGTGGCGGCACGGTCGCTAGGCTCAGTGTCCTTCTCTCCAATCATTGACTCACTTACATTTATCTCATGTGACAGGGAAGGAGCGGGGCGGGGCAGAGAGGTCTCCCAGCCACTGCTTCACTTCCCAAATGCATGCCAAGGCCAGGGCTGGGCCAAGCTGAAGCCAGGGTCTCCCATGGGCGTGGCAGGGACCCAGGGACGCGAGGGCTCAGTTTCCTTAGAGGGAAGCATGTTCTTACTTCTCACGGTGGCTTCAAGGGGTCCTGTCGTGGCACAACACTCCCATCAGCCTGCGGCATCTTCTCCCAGGTGCACACTTCTAAGGACAGGGTTTGTTTCTCTTCCTTCTCTTCTAGTTAGAAAGTCATACCCCTTGGGTTCTGCTAAGGCAAACGGTACTCGGGGGCGTGGTGAAGGTGGCGAGGACCCCGTGGTGGGGCCTGCACTGGGGACAGACTGGGCTCTGGCCCCAGTGCGGCCAGTGCCGGTCACACACCTGGGCTGCCGCTGCCCTTTGCAGGGGCAACGCTCTCTCCTTGGACTCCCAGATGGTGCGGAAGTGTGGACAGGTTGAGCCGCATAACTGGGGCCGGGAGCCCCTCCCCGATCCTGGAGCGCACGTGGCTCTGCAGGGGGTTGCCTCTCACCTGGGCCTGCAGGGTGGAGACGCCAGCTTGTGTCACAGTTGACTACTTCCAAGTTGTGGGTCCATCGCCGTCGTCAGAGGACCCACGATTGCCCTTTCTTAGCTGGGAGAAACGTCGCGTCCATGCTGGTGTGCTGGGCTGGCGCCCACGCAGTTGTAAGCCCACTCCCAGATCAGCGCCCCTTCCTCTGCCTGGGATTGTGCGTGAAGGTGACCAAGATGAGTTTTTGTGTTTTTGAAAAAGAAATGGAACCCTATTGCAGAGGGGCCGATAATTAATTCCACACAAATCAAGTTTGAGGGCTATTTTCAGGTGAATTCAATAAGTTTTCCAAAGCCAGTCAGCTGGGAGGGGTGGATGAATCCGGAAACAGCCAGTTTCCTTGTGACTAAATCAAGCCCAATATCACAAAGGACTCTTGCATTTCTTTGGTGTTTTTCCCATTTGTCTTATTTATCATGGTTTGTAATGCATTTTCTGATGTGAGCTTTGGTTTTGAGGCTGGAATATGGAGTTCAGGGCACGGGAGGAATGGGCTTTTTCAATCAGGGCACAGCTGTTGGCTTGCTCCAATTCTGGCTTTCTGTCATTGTTTTGGGTGCCTCAGCCGACTTTTGGTTTCTTGAGCAGCAATTTCCTAAATGGTTTCTGGGTCTGAGTTGGTTTTGCCTTCTTCCCTCCCAAATTTTGTATTCTGATGCAATACAAACAAGAGTTTAGACAGAGGATCCAGTATGAAGTGGAAAACACAACCAATTGGCGTGTCATGCTTAGAAATCTCCAGGCAGCACCACCAAGATGAGTTTTTGTGTTCTGGAAAAAGAAATGGAAGACTTTTGCAGAGGGGACCGATAATTAATTCCCCCAAAATCAAGTTTGACGGCGATTTGCAGGTGAATTCAAGGTGCAGACACTGAGCAAACTGGGAAAGCAAGCTCCCAGGAGCCCCTCTTGTCTCAGCGTTCCTGCTCCGACGGCGAGGCCTTTCTCGTGCAGTGCCCACGCCCCTCTGGAACAAGCCACAAGAAGCCACTTGGGCAGCTGCCTGCCCGCAGCTGTTGCTGGCGCAGAGCCGGCCACCCGACACCCGCCGGCCGTCTTGGTGCCATCTCCCTCTGTTGGGGAGTGACATTTGCTCCTATGAATGTTCCTTGGCCACTGGAGCCAAATTCTCCAAGTGCTGAGAAGGAGGCCTGCCCTGTGGTGCTATTTGGGTCTCGGCTTGTAACCAACACCGCTTTATACGGTCGTGAGCTCTTCTCCGGGGGCTCAGGTGTGAGTCCAGCTCCGCGCGGTTTCCACAGAGCTCTCACTCCTGTGTGAACAGGCTGGGGACAACCGTCTTGCTTCTTGTCCGTGACCCCCCTCTGTAATCCTTGGGGGGCGATTTTAAGGTTGAACGTGTCTCGTGCTGTTCGAGTTTGGTCTCTAAATTCTGCTCTGAGTTAATGACCAACCAGGGACTGGCCCCTGGAATCTGAGGGTGCTGGGGCCAGCGGCCGCCACGAGGAGCACGGGCCACCTCACCTCTCGTCTGCCCGTGTCTGAAACCCACAGTGCGGTCTTTGTTCCTCCCATGCAGTCGAGCTGGGGCTCTGCATGCTGAGACGTGGGGAGTGACGGTGCCCACCAGACGGCCACAGAAATAGGCCAGAGATGGTCTGTCTGTCCTGGCGGCTGTCCTGATGGAAAATAAACCCGTCGCCCCTCCGTGGCTAGCTGCCAGCTCTCCTGTGAGGTCACAGCTGTCATTAGACCTGGGTCTGCCGAACGCCCCCCTGTGGCTGGGGGAGCAGGAGGAGGAGGTCCTTCTGGGTGCTGGGGCGCCCTCTGCCCACCGCCCCGGCTCTGACCCCTGCAGTGGGGGGGGTTGACGCCCCCACTCCCGTACAGGCACGCAAGCTTACTTATGATCTATGTGTGCACCTCTGCCCTGTTATATTTTGCCTGGCACCAAACATTTGCCAAGAGCAATGTGAGAAGAACAAGATAAAAGGTAACCTGGAAGGAAGTCCCAACTCTCCCCCTGTCCACTCAGTGGTCAGCTGGGGGCACCTCTCGTCCAGTCAGTGGTCAGCTGGGGCACCCTAAGTGAGGGGCTTAGCGGAGTCTGACTGCTGTTAGGGGCCATGGGCCTCGTCACATGCCAGACAGAAGCTGGGGCCTCACCCATGTGCAAACACACATGCATGCAAACACACAGGTACAGATGCATGTGTGCACACGCATGAATATGGGCACACACATGCACACACATGCACACGTTTCACATTCCCTGCAGGAGCTGGGGCCCGTGCCACAGCTCCTTCTCCCTGAGCTGCTTCTGCCCCTGGGTGTGAGGTGCTAAGTGGTCACTGAACCAGCTAATTGGTGCTAATGTGCTAGGTGGCTCCCGATCCGAGTGCCTGAACTCCAGGAACAGGCTCGGTGTCCTGTGGGGGTGGGGCCTGCTTGGGCTATGCCTGCGGAACTCCTCCTGTGCGCTGTCCTCTCCCCGCGTGGTCCCATCCCACTCGTCTCGGGGTCTTGGTTAAGGAGCAGCAGAATGACAGTCACTCGCACGTCTCTGCTGCGGGGAACCTGCACCGCTCGGGAGGACGCTGGGTAGCGAGGTCCTTCATGGAGGAGAGAGCAGGAGGCGTCTTTGAACTAACGTATAATTCTAACGTATGATTCTAAAGTATAAGATTGATTTCATATTCCAAAATTACAAGATGTTTGCAAATACACTGTTGCATTTCACCATCAAGGTCATCCCAGGAAGTGTAGGAATTCAACAGTGTATTTTATATGGGATGTGTGTGTCGTATAATCTACAGAAGAGTGACCAGACCAGTGAACGGCGACACAGATCTGCACTGGGGACCTGGGTCCTGGGGCTGGGGTTGCACAGCGGCTGTGGCCACCTCCCCTGGCTGCCTCCTCACTGCCCAGTGTTGAGAACCCGTGACTCACAAAGACAAGTGGCTGCAAAGGGCAACGTTGTTTCACGCTGAAGTCTCGGAGTCGTACCCACGGAGCCGGGGCCCTGGCGCCCGAGCTGAGCTGCCGCTCACAGGCGCGGCTGGGCCTCAGCGGGGGTCGAGGACGGGGCGTTTGAGTGCAGTGTAAATTGCTAACATACATACATGGGGAGAAATTGTGACGTGCTTGGGGGATTCCTGGAACAGCGTCTGCAAACCTTGGATGCTAAGCCGAGGGCAGAGGGGGTGGGAGGGAGGTGTTTGGAGGACTCTCTCCACGGAGGGCTCCCGGCGGGGCAGGCCGCAGCCCCTCGCAGGGGTTGAGGACGTGGCATCCAGTGCCAAGGGCATGGCCTCCATCCTGGTCCACTGGTCACTTCCTGTTGTGAGCCTGCATGGGACACGCCCCCCTGCTGAGCTCTAGGCCCACGTTTGGCTCCCAGCCTCTCCCCGAAATCCTCATCCCTCTCTCTGTGCTCCCCAGCCAGGCCCTGGGACAGGGCATTCTGCTCCAGTGTCCTGACGGAGCCTGGCCCCTGTGCCGGGTGCTCCCGCCTCGCCCGCTTCCGCATCCGTGCTGTTGTTATTGATAGCAGGACAGGAGTGTTGCGAAGGGTTAAGGATATTCTCAGAAGACAGTCTTCCCCAAATACAACCGCTTCATCGTCTAGAAGAGCTAACAAAAGCGCAAACTAAGAAAATCCAACACCGTGACCTGACCCCGCCCCGGGCCCCCACGGTGAACCGGAGGTCGAGTCTGCACGCCCGGGCTCTGCGTGGGCCATCCCTGGAGCAAGGCACTAGACGGAGGCCGTGGCGCTGCCTGACACGGGGCTGGGGTTGGAACCCAGGGCAGGAGGGCGCTCGCGGTGGGCAGCAGGATCTCTGCAGCTTCCTTTCTCCTTCGTTGGAGACTGCTCTTTGTCTTGGTCCGTGCGCTATTTCCCACGCCTAGAGGAGTGGAGGGGAGAGCAGAATCGCTAGTGGCTTCCCAGGAGTGGCTCTGGCCTTTGGGGCCCTGGGCTTCTGATGCTTCTTAAAGTCAGACTTGGGCCAACTTTTTCTTCTTTCGGAAGTGAGATTGTTCGTGTTAGTTCTCTTCCGGACCAAGACTTCGCTGATGGTGCCTGCATTCTCGCAGGAGAGCTGGCAGACAGACGTCACCATGGGGTCACGTGGGCCTTGTCTACCCAGCTGTGTAATGTGTCGGCTCTCTCACCATGATAATAGGACTGCAGCATCTACTGTCCAGGGCTGGAGAATATTTTCTGAAATAGCTGGCTTCAGTAACTGTGGTGTGCCCGGCAGGGAGTGAAAGATCAATAAACATCCACACATCCCCCTACATCCCGCCTGTCAGGTGCACTTCTGGGAGCTGCTGGGGAGACAGTTCACAGCCAAGAAAATGGGCTCTGACTCTTGCATGATGGATGCAGGGAGACTGGAGAGCTGTGCCCTGGGGTCTTTGGCCACGTCTAGGTCTGGAGCACGCGTCGATGCCTCAGGGGGTCAGCATCGCCATCTCTGTGTGTCTGCGTGTGGTTCGTGTCCAGGGTTGACCCTCCCTCGGGATTCTGCAGTCTCCTGTTGGCAGAGGCTCCTTTTGGGGGCCAGTGGGGCTGTCCAGTCTGCTGTTCTGGCAGGTGTTTCTTACTTAGGAAGTAAGCAGGTCCTTGCCTGACCTCTGAATCCCTTGCTCTGGCTCCCGTGTGGGCTTTGGAGTCAGCCCTCGGCCGCCACATTGGAGGTGTTACACTGGGCTGTTAAAGGGCGGATCGCCCATGCATGGGGCAACCTGGAGGGTCGGGTGGCAGCCCAGCGCCAGGCTTCCGAGAGCTGGTGGATGTGCGGTTCCCACGAAGGCTGTTTACCAGGGGGTCTGGCTTTCTGCTGAGACAGCTCCTTGGCTCGCACACAGAACAGGTGCAGGAGTCTCCTCGGCAGGCCACTTGCGCCCATCCGGGTGCTTTGGCCAGAGAAGCCAAAGAGGTGGGAAGTGGGACCAGGGCAGGAGAGAGGTAGACAAAGGATCGGCCCAGCCCGGGAGCGCATCCCTGCCTGTCATCACTGCCTCACGCGGCCTCCTGGTTCGAGGCAGAGCTGGCATTGTTCTTGAACAGATCACTCACTGGCAAACCATCCGGGGTGTCGGCGGCTCGGCTTTCAAGGAACGCCTTTGTTCCAGTGCAGGGCACCGGCGCCCGCAGAGCCGCCCCACACACTCCCTTGTGCTTTTCTCTCCAAGGGCAAGCTTTGACGACACGGCCACCTACTCCGCAGTGGCCACCAACGCGCACGGGCAGGTGTCGACCAACGCCGCGGTGGTGGTGCGGAGTGAGTGTGCTTCTCGGGGGAGCCCTGGGGAGGCATCTGGGGGGTGCCTTGCCACCCACGCCCCTTTCCTTGCCATGTTCACCTCTTTGTCTTGCAGGGTACCGAGGCGATGAGGAGCCATTCTACTCCGTGGGGCTCCCGATTGGATGTAAGTAGATTTTGTTTGTATTTTCATGCAGGAAGATGTTGAAAGAGTTGGCACTTTATTTGAAAGGCGGAGTTAAAGAGAGATCTTCCATCCATTGGTTCACTCTTTGAATGGCCACAATGGCCACAATGGCTGGGGCTGGGCCAGGCTGAAGCCAGGCGCTTCATCTGGGTCTCCTGTGTGGGTGCAGGGGCCCAACCACTTGGGGCCTCTTCTGCTGCTTTTCCAGGCTCATTAGCAGAGAGACAGATTGGAAGTGGAGCAGCTGGGACTTGAACCGGCACCCGTATGGGATGCCACACTACAGCGCCAGCCCCTGTTAGCACATAATTTAAAGAGTCATTTTCTAAGGGTGAAATCTTCTTAAAGGCTTGTATTTCCCCAAACTCTCCCAGGTCCCCGGTCAGTGTTAGGGTGTGCACCATCTGTTCCCTACATGTCTCTGGCTTGGGGGTATTTTTAGGCCCCGGTGAAGTCATCACTTGGAGACACTTTAGGAAAGTGCAGCGAATTCACATTCTCGAGGCGGGTGCATAATGCTGCTCCTTTCATGTTTCGGGACGCCCTTCCCCCCACCCGGGCGGTCTCTGTGGTCATTCCTGGGGTCTCCGCGAGGCGTGCGGAAGAGGCTTGCTGGGAACAGGCTCCCGGCCCCTCCCAGGCCCAGCCTTCTCTCCCAGTGTGCACAGCGCAGCCTTCAGTGTGACTCCGACTCGTGGGGGCCTCCCCTTCCTGCTCCTGAACCCCACGTGTAAAGCTGCCCGCTCTCGCGGGCCCTAGGCCTAGGCCTCTGTCCAGCCCCTGGGGGTCCTGGGATGAGGTTATCTCCATGTCCTGACAGGGTCTGGGCTGTGCAAATCCAGCAGGGGTGAGGCGGGCCACTGCTCCCTGTCCCGGACCAGGACTGACCCCTGCCTCCCACGTGGCCGACGCAGGCCGTCCTGAACTCCCAGGACTGCGACTGCGTGTTCCCGCAGCTTCGATGTACTGTCATTTGAGGCCGAGCTGTCACTCAAGTGTGGCGAGTGACTGATCGACAAAAGCAATGGCTGACAGGGAAACTTCTCTCGCAGTCATGGAATGCTTTGGGGATAGTTTATTTAGGTTGGTTTCTGTGTGGATCCCATTGCATGGGCTGCGCCCAAAACTCGGTGGGGTCCCAGACCACCAGCAGGCACACAGAGACCAGGTCAAGGTCAGCACAGGAGGCGGCAGCAGAGATGAGAGAGTCTGTGTGGGTGTGTGTGTGCACATGTGTGTGATATGTAGAGTGTGTATATGTGTGTGATGTGTGTGGTGTATGTGCATGTGTGCCTATGTGCATACGTGTGAATGATGTGTGTGATATGTGGGGGACGTGTATGTTTGGTGTGTGTATGTGCATATGTGTGCATTTGTGTGTGTGGTGTATGTGGATTGGGGGCATGTCTGTGTGGTGTGTGTGTGTGTGGTGTATGTGGATTGGGGGCATGTCTGTGTGGTGTGTGTGTGTGTGGTGTATGTGGATTGGGGGCATGTCTGTGTGGTGTGTGTGTGTGTGGTGTGTGTGGATTGGGGGCATGTCTGTGTGGTGTGTGTGTGTGTGTGTGTATGTGTGTGGTGTGTGTCTGTGTGTCTGAGTGTGGTGCGTGTATATGTGTGTGGTATGCATGTTTGTATATGTGCATGGTGTAGGTGTATGAGTGTGTGCTGTATGTGTGGTATGTGTGTCTGTGTGTAAGCACATTGTGTGTGTGGTATGTGTGTATGAATGTGATGTGTGTACGTGAGTGTGCTGTGCATGTCTATATGTGCATGGTGTGTGTGGTATGTGTACATGTGTGTGTGAGTGTGCTGTGTGTGTATATGAGTGTGGGCTGTGTGTGTATGTGTGTGGTGTGCGTGTCTGTGTGCATGTTATGTATATGTGTGTATGTTTGTGTATGAGTGTGGGCTGTGTTTGTGTGTGCATGGTGTGTATGTGTGTATGTGTATGAGTGTGGGAAGTGTGTGTATGCACATGGTGTGTGTATGTTTGTGTATGAGTGTGGGGTGTGTGTGTATGCACATTGTGTGTGGTATGTGTGTATGTGTGTGTGAGTGTGTGATGTGTGTGTATGCACATTGTGTGTGGTATGTGTGTATGTGTGTGTGAGTGTGTGATGTGTGTGTATGCACATTGTGTGTGGTATGTGTGTATGTGTGTGTGAGTGTGTGATGTGTGTGTATGCACATTGTGTGTGGTATGTGTGTATGTGTGTGTGAGTGTGTGATGTGTGTGTATGCACATTGTGTGTGGTATGTGTGTATGTGTGTGTGAGTGTGTGATGTGTGTATATGCACATGGTGTGTGTGGTATGTGTGTGTGTGTGTATGAGTGTGGGATGTGTGTGTATGCACATTGTGTGTGGTATGTGTGTATGTGTGTGTGAGTGTGTGATGTGTGTGTATGCACATTGTGTGTGGTATGTGTGTGTGTGTGTATGAGTGTGGGATGTGTGTGTATGCACATTGTGTGTGGTATGTGTGTATGTGTGTGTGAGTGTGTGATGTGTGTGTATGCACATTGTGTGTGGTATGTGTGTATGTGTGTGTATGAGTGTGGGGTGTGTCTGTGTGTCTGTGTGTATGTGTGTGTATGAGTGTGGTGTGTATGTGTGGTGTGTGTGTATGTGTGGTATGTGTGTATGTGTGTGTGTATGAGTGTGGGGTGTGTCTGTGTGTATGTGCATGGTGTGTATGTGTGTATGTTTGTGTATGAGTGTGTGTATATGTGTGTGTATGCACATGGTGTGTGTGGTATGTGTGTATGTGTGTGTATGAGTGTGGGGTGTGTCTGTGTGTCTGTGTGTATGTGTGTGTATGAGTGTGGTGTGTATGTGTGGTGTGTATGTGTGGTGTGTGTATGTGTGTGTGTATGAGTGTGGGGTGTGTCTGTGTGTATGTGCATGGTGTGTATGTATGTATGTATGTGTATGTATGTGTATGTGTGTGTATGCACATGGTGTGTGTGGTATGTGTGTATGTGTGTGTATGAGTGTGGGGTGTGTCTGTGTGTATGTGCATGGTGTGTCTGTGTGTATGTTTGTGTATGAG